TATATGTATGTATATATATATATGTATGTATATAAATATAATATATATATATATATAGTACGCTTTCCGCCACCACAAAACCAAAATGAGAACCACAGAGCTCACGCACCTATTTAAGTATGAAAAGCATTCCACGTCCAGCATGTGTGTCTCGTCTATAAATAGAACACCAGGGACCAGCTCCGCTTTGCCTTCCTCGCGCCACTCTGCCACTTTGATGTCAATCTGCTCACGAACTTCCGATTTAATCTGCGTTTACATGACATGAAGTGACAAATGAGAAATTAAAGACTACATGCAGACATTACAAGTAATGCTATACATCAAGAAGGAAATAGATACAAATATTTGATTCTAGTTGAATGGCAATAGAAGTAACGAATCCAAAAATAGGATGTTTCCCGGCCAGAAGACAAGACCCGGAGCCTTGTCGAAATAGCACTACACACATATATATATATATATATATACATTGGTACTTACCTCCCCAGTCTCACCGGAGAATAGAGCCAAGAAACCTTGCTGCCTGCTATTGATCACGTCTATCTCGTGCAGTGACACTGTGTGTACCATCTCTTTGCGCTTCTGTAGTTCGCCATCCGGACAAGCGATGAACTTTGTATCGGCTCCTGCGGCGTCGTAGTCCCGGGCGCGCGAGTGTGAGCGACCAATACGGGTGATACGTCCTGTGGCCTGGGTACGAGTATGGTAGGTATGCAAACTATTTTTAGAATACGATCCATATATGGGAATTGATGACGTTGTGAACCGCGTGTGAAATGGGCGAGGGCGCGCGCCCTTAGTAGAACGCACAAGGTGTTTGTGTATGTGGAGCGGGGTTCAATACAAAAGATCTATCAATGGGAATTAAACAGTCGACGCCCATCACACTTTTATGTGTAGACGCGATGATTTGAACCTTGCTTCCTGAAGTCTATCCCCATATTTACAGGTTCAGAAGATGCCCCACTTGCACAGGTACAGATGCAATGGTCTGCACCTGGGGAGATTGGCCAAACGCACCTTATGGTCACCACAATTTAACAACTATACCAAAACTCCCTCATCAATGACCCGATGAAAACAATGAAGTTCGGGACCGTTCCATCTCCTTCCACCCCCTTGCCTTCACAAAAAAAAGCTTCACTTGTTTACTTTTCTGGTGCACTCGGGCGTAGGCCAGAGAGGGCACAAAAATATAAATATACGCAAAACAATTATATTGATATGTCGAACGAAACCGTCCAGTGAGGTGACGATCAATATGCCTGTACCACCAATTGAGATAGCAGACACATGTGGCTTAGCATATAGACACAAACCCTGACACGATTATATACCATACCACGTATGCTTACCCGTAAATACATCTACTAAAATATACAAGCATTTAAATACACGACTATGATCGCATACCGATGTCACACCCTTCTAATCGTGATGCTGTGAAGTCAACACTAACATAGACGCAGACTCGATCTGCTGCCATATATGGCATACACATGTGTAAATTGGTATCCACACGTCCAATACAATAAACACAAAGTATATACATACATGGATTGAACCCCCACCGATACCACACCTTATCTATTGTGATGACGTCTCCAGCTTGGACCTTAGCCTTGACCAGTCCTTCAATCATTTTGGCACCCAAATCATAGATAGTCTCCATATCCGTAGTCTTCATGGTCAACTTTCCAACCTGCCCATATGGATATAGATGCTCGTGCGGTTAGATCGACATGAGAGCTCCCTTTATGTAGTTTCCATGGTCTGTTTCCTCACTTGTTGCGTATATATATATATTAATATATATACGTAGGCGCAAATGTACCTATATTCACACGAGAACTGTCTATGGAGTGTGAAAAGTACTGCATACACCTATAACATAACCAAATAACTATATAAATGTGATACACATACCTTGGCCTGTGTGCCGCTCGTGGGTCGGTCTATTTGCACCTCCACGACCTCTCCCTCAATCACCTCGGCCTCTTCTTTGATACGCACACCTGGTAGTCCCCATCAGCAGACAGATGTTTTAGATGACTGCCAACACAACGCGCACGCAGATACCAGAGTAGAATGAACGTATAGCGAACGCTAACGCACCAGATTTAAGATTAAGTGCGCAGTACAGCTGTAAGAAGTGAATACATGAAGACATGTATGCATTGTTGTTTGATACTAGTACCGTATCAAACAACCAATCAAAAACAAAAACAACACCCATACCTTGCAAAGCAGCAATATCGATGAAGATATGTAGTCGACAAAACTATATATATATACATAATGTGAAGCTATCCGATAACCATCCGCAAACAGTTCAATATCTATAAATATATATACCCATATTTATAATATGTATT